ATTTGAATCTTTCAGTTCTTCTCTAAAACATTCATTCACTTTTTCCTAGAATAGGACCCTAAAATGTCCTGATTGTTTCTTATTTTAAATTCAGGAATATAAAAATAGAGTGTCTGAAATCTGTGAAACTTTCACCCGACAAATAATGCTAGTTTTTGATTGCTATTAGCCCTAACCAACTCGCTACATGTTCCAGCTACATTATGGGGTTTGTAATCCTAATCCATGGTGATAGTTTCACATTGAATAATTTTTTTAAAATTTATTGCTAATAGAACACTTTATTGCTAATAGAGCAAGATAACAGAAGTTTGGAAGCCCGTCCAAAAACAAAAAAACTCTCCAGGTCAACTTATACCTAATGTAGTTAAGGTGGAGTTATTTTGGGGCTTTTCCCCACATTTCCTTCATCTACCAGACTCCAGAGGTTGTGGTTGCTCAAACATTGGAGGTATTTAAAGAGATTGGATCACTGTTTGTCTGAAATGTTATAGGGCGGTAGTGAGATCCTACGTTAATCTCTACCAGTTCGGTGGGTGCGCCCCTAACGCAAGCATCCCTAACAAGCCAATCAGCTGAGAGGATGAAGAAACAAAAAGCTAGGAGCGACCCTCCCACGAGCTTTTCGGTCTTTTATCCTCTCAGCTGATCAGACGCTTTTACAGGTCCGAACCGGTAGCATACCACCACTGATATAGTGCTTCCTGCTTGAGAAGAAGGTTGGACTAGAAAACCTTCAAATTCCCTTCCAACTCCATTATTCAGACTTAAGAATCTTTATTTTTTTTGTAATTACCCTGCTTCCTTCTGTAACAAATCTTTCTCTCCTTCACGTTTCCTGGGTCTGTAAACATTCCAACAAGCACAGGACAGGATGATCCTTTGCAGCGTGGAACGTTGCTTACATATGAAAACTGTAAACATGTTTATTATGCATTAGGTTTTTGTCGTTGGATTGGATTTCTGGTTGATGACCTGGTAAAGTTTTCGATTCCAACCTCAGGACGGTGGAATATTTTGGGACCCCAACGGCCAGAGTCTCATCCTGTCCTTAGCATTCCTTACCGTGGCCTCAAAAACTGGAGACTTTGGGGACAAACATGCTTCAGATACTGATGATGATAAACGTTAACACTTGCAAGAGCTGTAACGTGTGTTGAGAAGTGGATGAAATCAAGACAAGGATTGAAGCATTTCTTCCCTCTGCCTCCATTTACTAGCAATAGCTAGAGAAACTTTTGTCTGTTTGGCATAAATTAGGCAGCATCTCAAAATATACAGATTTGCAAAACTAATAGTCCTTCAAAGTCCCCCACACAAAAATACATGATCGTAAGGAAGAATCTGAAACTGCTATGAAAGATTTTGTTTCTGAAACACACAACACACAATGGTGGCAAGTATCTGCAGCTTGGGTGTAGGATGAAGGTGAAGGTTCCTTCTCCAAGCTTGTGGGTTGGTTGCCGGACGTTTCCTTACTAAGCTAGGTAACGTCTTCAGTGGAGTTTAAGGGATCCCCTAAACTCCGCCAAGATGTTACCTAGCCTGGTAAAGAAACGTTCGGAATCCAATCCACAAACTCGGAGTACGAACCTTCACCCTCACACAGCTCACAGCCTCAAATATAAAGACATCTTGGAGGGCCATGGTTAGGGTCTCAGCATTGGGCTGGGAAAAGAGGATCTCTACCCTCCCTTGGAAGATTTTTGTGAGGTTGGCAGGAGCCACTGAATATCAAGTTCTTGGATAAGATGTAGGGGGAAAAGACCTTTTTAGAAAGCAGCCAAACGATTTTCAATATCCAATCCTTTTACACACACACACAGTTGAGATGTTGCTAGATCTTAATGGAAGCAGAGATCATTTATTAAAAAAATTCAGACATTGCACTCCCAAATTTTTTTTTTATCCCATGTAGATCACAACTTCAGCCTATGACACCAAAGGTCAAGATCCTTCTAGACCCTTACTTACAAATCCTGTTATTGTCAGTATAAAGACATCTTATTCGTTAATGTTGGTTTTCATTATACAGAAAGGCAAGGATAATTCTGCCAAGGCTGGATAGTTGGTATTTTAATCAACACTTTTTCTAGTGTTCAGCCTCTGTCAGAAATATCTAAGAAGTGTAAACAGTTCTTTCTCACAGGTCAGGCTGTGTTGTCACTGGTCTTTTTTTTTTTTCCTTTTAGGTGATGAATGCAACAAAAATAAGGATATCGCTCATCTAAGGATTATGTCATGAATTGCTAGAAGGCAGCATCTGCCAAAAAAATGCCTTCTGTGTAAACCTTCTGTTTCCAGAAGTAGAGTTGGTAAAAATGAGATATGCATTTCCAACAGCTTGTAAAAGATACTCACACGCCCACCTCAGGTAGACTTTCAAGTCTCTCTAGGACTTTGTGCATTGTTAGCAAACGTCTTGGTAGAAAATGTTTCAAAACCACAAAACTTGTCCAAAGTGTCCATCAATCAAAAGGGAGCTTGCTTTCATATCAAGATGTGCTGGAGAGCAAGCCTTTCCTAGCCAAAAGGATGATGGGAACTCAAGTCAACCTCACTTGAAAACTTGATCTAAGGCCAAGGGTGTCCAACCTTGGCAACTAAGGCCAGGGGTGTCCAACCTTGGCAACTTTAAGACTTGTGGACTTCAACTCCCAGAATTCCTCAGCGAGCTTTGCTGGCTGAGGAATTCTGGGAGTTGAAGTCCACAAGTCTTAAAGTTGCCAAGTTTCTGGCTGAGGAATTCTGGGAGTTGAAGTCCACAAGTCTTAAAGTTGCCAAGTTTCTGGCTGAGGAATTCTGGGAGTTGAAGTCCAAAAGTCTTAAAGTTGCCAAGGTTGGACACCCCTGATCTAGGCTATCAAGAATGCATCTATTTGCTTTGAGCCTCAAGAGCCATCAACCTGCAGGCAGCCCAGTGCTGTCAAAACATTTAACATCATGCCCCAATGCCTCATAGTGAAACTGTGGGAACTGCTAACAACTGACACATCTAGGTCCATTTAGCCCCAAACTACTGAAGCAAATTTATATTAGGTTTCATTATCTCCATCTCCTCCTCTCTGACTTTCTCGCGTGTACATTTCTTCCAATGGCAATAAGAGCCTTGGAAGGTCAGTCCCTCATCCCGCAATTACACAAAACTAGTTTATCCATGTTGGAAACTTGTATTCCAGAGACCTCACTTTGAGGAAGCGAGCCTAAATCTGAAAACAAGCACATCAGAGTTGAGAAGGAAGACAGCCAGTATCCAAGGTTTAACCACTGGGGCACATTCACTGGGGAGTAAAAATGTTGCAGGCTGGATTTTGCTCTGTTGAACCTGTCATGTGCACTATTAACACAAATACAAGGCAATAAAAAGGGAAGGATGTTTCTTTTCTCCATAAAATGCTCTCTCTCTCTGTGTGTGTGTGTGTATACACTTCTGACTGTAACAGGGTCCTGAGCAGTAAGTGTCTCCAGCTGAAACATCAGTTAATACTAGGGGGTGAAGGCTTTTTCTTTTTAAAAGGCTGAATAACTGGCCCTTTAAACCTAGTGGAAGCTTATCACAACCTATATCACAGGTTAAAATGTTTAAAATCTTATGGGAAATGGAGAGAGTCCAAAATTATTCTGGAGATTGTAGGCTGCCAACCATTAGGATACGGTAGAGTAAGGTAAGGTAGAATAAATAAGATAGGCCAGGATTGACTATAGTAAAGATAGGGTAGAGTAGGGTAGAGTGGAGTAGAGTAAGATAAAGTAGGAACGGGTAGGGCAGGATAAGAAAGGTAGAGTAGGATACAGTAGAACAGTGATGGCTAACCTATGACACGCGTGTCACTCGTGACACGCCGAGGCACTTTGACTGACACACCTGTTGGTTTGGGGAAAACCTGCACATTTAGAGGCTGCCTGTGCTCTGCTCCAATCCCTGCTCCCTGCTTGTTGCGTGGAGGCGTGGTGTCACCGCTGCCGCGAGATCTTTGCAGCAGAGAACCAGTTTTAACCGCCATAAACTGAGGTTTGTCAGTTTCATTACCTCAGGAACGCTACAGGAGGAAAGGAGATCCATGAGGTTCACAGCCCTGTAAGGTGGCCTTCCGATCCCCACATCCTGCACCTGCAGCCCTGAGACCAGGGAGACGAGTTTCACAGCCCTGTGTGATCACCCCAGCCCAGTCCGTCATAAACCAAATTATTGATATTTCTTGAAGTGACACACGATTTTCGACACACCAAGCTGAAAAGGTTAGCCATCACTGCAGTAGGAGATAGGCTAGGGTAAGGGAACAAGAGATACTTGAGTGGTTTGATGTACACATTGGAGTATTTCTCAACATTGGTAATTTTAACATATGTGGCAATTTAGCTGGCTCAATCTGTAGAGATTCTCAGTCCTCTAGGCCATGGTTGTCCCAAAGGTGCTTTTTCAGAAGGCAACTGGACTTTGTTTTTTCTTTTGGAGACGTTTTGCTTCTCATCCAAGAAGCTTCATCAACTCTGACAGGGTGCCTTTTCCTGTCAGAGCTGAAGAAGCTTCTTGGATGAGAAGCAAAACCTCTTCAAAAGAAAAAAACAAGCAAGTCCAGTTGCCTCCTGAAAATGCACCTTTGGGTTAGCTGGCTCAGGAACTCTGGGAGTTGAAATCCACACATCTTAAAGCCGCGAAGTTGAGAAGCAGTGACCCAGATGTTGCTTAAGGGAGTGAATGTCAACATTTCCTTGGTAAATCTACAAGCAAGACTGCCAAATCCAACTGAACGAGCATCTCCATATTTTATTAGCGCTAAAGGAGTCTGTGGTACAAAGAATTCCTTCCAAACGGTCTGAAGACAGTGATCTAGTACCACTTGACAAATTAAAAAAATAAGAGTAAAAATGAAATGACCAAATAGAATGGATTTTCACAAACTACATACAGAGTCCAGTTTCCAACTATCTTTCTTCCCAATTTAACAGGGAAATGGAACAGGAAGGAGGAAACATATTTTTTTATTTTTTTAAAAAAGAAAAAGAAATAGATTCAGGGTATTCTTTTTGTGGAATTGGGATTTTTTTCTCCTTTCCTTTTTTTTTTTGTACATTCAAAGATTATTGCATCAGAAAAATGGATCATGCACGTTTCATGTTTTCAGACAAAAACGTTTAACCTGTATTATTCTTGTCACTTCTAGCTACATTTCAAAGGTGCACCAATTCTACAGTTTTATACTTCTCTTTGCTTTTTAGTCGCATGCTTTGCCTATGCGCATGCGTTAGATAATAAATATTAAATACAGGAAAGAACATTAGAAGAAAAAAACCCATGACATTGGGAATATTTTGCGGCAGGTTCCACCAGATAAAGGTACAGATTGAAAGAAAAAAAAAATGCTTGAGGTAATTCTGTTGGCTATAACCACTCCACCAAGACTTGTTTGAAATTCATGGAAGTTTCTTTCTTCTCAGAAAATTCAAGTACACAAATACCAGCTGGGACTCTTCAGAAAATACCAAGGGCTGTTTTTCTTTTTCTTTTCTATTAGTCTATTAGTCGGCATTCACAGAGTTCCTTGTAAATCCTTTTTCGCACTCTGGGCATGTCCTCTTGGGAGAACTGAAAGGACTGGTCTAAGGCGAGGCACTTGCAGTACTGCGGGAAAAACCAAGAAGGAACACATCTTAGAAACAAGGACGAGAAGCAACGTTTCAGCAGGTTCTGAAAAAAGGGGGAAAGCCTTTTGTAAAAAGCCTCTGCCTTACCTGGAGTACAAAAACTCCACAGTCACTGTCATTTTTCTGTTGCGGAATGCACTGGAAAAAAACAAACAAACCACAAAAACGAAACAAGAGTTTAACACAAATATGCACACCGGGTTCCAAGTAGCTGATTTGCATTCTGCAATTGCTCGTCTCCAGATCACCAACTTGCAACCTACGTTAACGGTTCCTGATGCTCAAAAGGAGAATATGGGAAGGAAGCCCACACTGGCAAAAAAAACAAAAAAACCCAACCCTGCCCCTTAATCTCTAATTATGGTGTGCACCTCAACACTGTGCCAATCATTTTGCTTTCAGAAAGATCCAATTTGTGTCTCCCGTTTAAAAGAAGACCAGGTAGCAGATAATAAAAAGTTTGCTCCCTCCACAGTCTGGAGATCACCTAGAAATCTTGCTGGCTAGATGCTTCCTAGTTGGGGAATTCTGGGAGTTGAAGTCCACAAGTGTTAAAGTTGCCGTGTTTGGAGAGCCCAGGACCTAGGGACGTTGTCAGAAAACATTCTGATTGGCCCAGTTCTTTAAAGAGGAAGGGTCGAAGTTTTTAATGTACAGACTCATGACCCTTTTAACGGCCAGCAGAGAAATAAGTTAAGAGTACATATGGCAAATCTACTTGTCTAAATTTTCCAGAGTATCCTGATGAGGAAGCCGCCGGGACAGCTGCTCCAAAGGCTGCTCACTGCTCCGTTCTTTTTCCTCCTGTTCACATGAGCCAAGAAGTACATGCAACCCACTTTCTCTTTTTTTGACCCCTTGGAAACTTTCCCCCCCAGAAATACAGCCAGAAAGATAAAGGCACTGCCCTTATTTTTAGAGCTGCCTTCCCAGCAAAATTCTCAGAATCCTGTCTGAAAAAGTCACTGGCTGGGGTTTCTGAGTCCAAATATAGCTGGAAGTTCTATCACTTTAGGATCAAGAAGAAAGCTGACACGTCGAAGAAGGTGAGTTCACTAGTGTTTTTTTTCTAACTTGGCACCTTTCAGATGGGTAGGCTTCAACTCCCAGAATTCCCCAGCCAGAATCTCATGATGGGACTTTTCCATTTGGCCTCTTGGGAGAGCGAAAGAGTTTTGCAGGATGGAAACTCTCCACCAAACGTTTTTACTCTCAAGGTTGGATGAAAAGATCCCTCCCGAAATCCAGGCGGGATTTCCTGCTTGGATTTTGTGAAGAGCCTTTTTCAGCCAGCCCTCAGGAAACCAAAGGGAGTCATCTGGACAGATGGCAGCAGCCTGACATTTCCTGCTGGCTTCCCCGTTGATTTTTCTGGGGAAGCCAGCAGGAAATACCACACATGGTGATCACATGATTATGAGGTGCTTGGCAACCCACCATGACTGTGAATGGGTTGTCAAGACCACATTCATGTGACTGTGGGGGTGTGTGTGTGCTGCAAACAGGTTAGAAGTGTCTTCATTCATGCTGTAAACTTTGAATGGTTGCTGAACGAATGGTCGTTAAGCGAGGACCACCTGCACCCTTACTTAGAACTGTGCGAATGAGAGTGAGAAAGTGGCATTTGGTTTTTTTTTTAAAGAGATTGCAAATGCTGTTGTTCTCTTAGGAGTAATACTTCCCCTGATAGGATCCAACCAAAAGGATGTGGTGGCAGCTTGGGGTCAATCACAAGGTCACAAGGTCTCGATGCTCAAAACTATGGCAGATTCTTATGTGGATTTGGCCACATAAGTAAACACACATGTTATTTTATAAAGGAAAATAAATTCCACCTCCCAGCCACATGCCAAAATTTTAATAAGCAAGACGGGGCAGCTTCTTCCCAATTATTTTAAGTAAATATTTGAACTCTGCTATCTCCTTTATACAGGCTCAATTTATTCTGAGCATGCACACACATGGTCAAACACACTAGTTCGGGGAAAGAGTTACTCCTAGCCTTTCTCTCCACAGAGCACAGTTTTTTTTTTTTTTTTACAGCTTAGCAGCTTAACATATTTGGGCATCATTAAGGCATTTTAAAGCAGGGTTGCCCATTTGAGCATTAAAGACTTACTAGCCCCTATGAGCGCACCCTCGCAATGTACTAACTGTGAGGAAGAGGGAGATAACTAGAAGATGCGTTGAAAGATTTGCTTTACAGGATACCGTTCAGTGAACTGTCATCAATCGGAGAGAGAGAGAGAGAGAGAGAACAGGAATTTAGAGGACTTTTACAGGGAATTCAATAAATTGCAACGTCTGTGAAAAAAATGAGCCCACTCTTACGTCAAAAACCTGAGTAATGAGTAACATCCGAATTAAGTTCTATATTAGTATGTCTCAGGATCTTAATGTCTGCTGGAGGCAATGTTTATGTTGTTAAGAAAATGATCATTTAGTTTGGCCTTTTCCCCATTCATTGATCTATTTTTATTTTCTCTAAAGCATGATTGTCTTCATCTTTCTGTAACAGCTTTGTTCCCTATGCCATCCCTCTGGTAAAACTCGCCATGTATACCTCAGAACTAGACTGTGTTGTTTCTCTGTGTCTTATAATAATGTATGTGGATATAGGCATATTTTTTATTTATTTATCTTGTCGTGTATATTGGAAGTGCTTTGAGAGCTGTATGGAACGCAATTTCATTTTAATGCATGCTGATTAGTGTACATTTAAAGGCACAATAAAGCTATTCTGAGTTTAAACTTGGGGTACTCAAGCTTTTTTGGGGCCACCTGGAACTCTTGAATGTTCTCTCGGACTCCTAGAGAGGGAGGTACAAGTAATCATCAACTTACAACCACAATTGAACCCAACATTTCTGTTGCTTAACATTTCTTGAATGATTTTTGCCCCATATTACAACCTTTCTTGTCACAGTTGTTAAGTGAATCACCACAACTGTTAATTTAGTAACACGGTTGTTAAACGAATCTGATTTCCTCATGGACTTTGCTGGTGAGAAGGTCACCAAAGGGGGATGTGAACCAGCTGTCAAGTGACTACGGGGGATGCTGCAATGTTATAAGCCTGAAAAAACATCTGTCGTAAAGTCCCTTTTTTTTCAGCATCGCTGTTAACACCAAGCAGTCTCTAAATGAATCGTTGTTAAGCTGACAACTACCTGTCTTCTCCAAACACGGATCGTTGTGGTGGTTGCAACACATTCAGAAAGCAACGATTTTGGAGTGAGATTCCCTATCATGACCTCCGCATCTCCTGGATCCTTTCTATGAGCCCCATCAGATAGGAAAGAGTTCTCCACGAACAGCTGGACAGCAGCTTCTCACCTATTTTTATTGTTTGGTGCTTTTGATAATGTGTTTGTATATATGGGCTCATAGGCATTTTCGTAGTGATGAAGCTAAAGATTGGTGATTTCTTCTTCAACACCCCCATTCCTTTTTGAAATACTTTTTAATAAGGTACATACATCTGAGTCATACTACGCAGGAACCTTTCCTAACCAGGTTACACACACACCCCAAATAAACGGGGAGATGGGAGAGCTCTCATATCTGGCTAGAAATTCTGAGTTTTGCTTCCAACATATAGGGAGGGACACCCAACCAAAGTAGCTTGTCTGCTGCTCCTTTGCAAGCAACATACATAAAATTAACCAAGCCACAGATTCAGAGATATCCTGAACAAGCTACATAGTCTGATTTTTATTCAATCCATCTTTATAATTATAGGGAATTAGCATAACGATGCTATGGTTAAGCAGCAGCTAAGCTATACTTTGCAGGCAGACAAGAATTTTTCTGAAGGGAAGATCTGGTATGCTGGTTACGCTCCGATTCCACGATGGTTATGTTTTTGGCAGCTTGAACGCTGCCTCAGCTACTGAAACGTTCCAATTTCCATTTTTCTGTTTGACATTATAAACAGCGCTCCGCTTTTAAGTGATACGTAGTTGGGAGAAGAGAGGAAGCTTTCTGTACAGCCTGGTGATGAACATCTGGATGGAAATTCTGGGGCTGAAATTCAGACGTCTGAAAATGGCCCAGATCAGAGTAGCCTCCCTCTAACTCACAAACGTGCCAGGTCTAAAGTAGGAATGGGCCATCCGTAGTCCCAGGACTGATTGTAGCCACCATTTTGTTTTTTTTGTTTTTTTGTTTTCGGGTACTGAAGTCCTTCTCTGATTAAAAACTTAGTGGTTCTCCATCATTCTGACCAGTGGTAGGATTCTTTTTTTTTTTTACTACTGGTTCTGTGGGCATGGCTTGATGGGCATGGAAAAGTCTACTGGAAAATCTACATTCCCTCCTCACCCCATTAACCTGCTTTCCAGCTCCATTCTCCTGCGCAGGGCAACCAAAGAAGACCCAGCCCATCAGCTGCGACTCTTGTGAGGCGGAGAATAAATGGGGTGGGGTCGGGGGGCCAGTCAGAGGTGGTATTTGCCGGTTCTTCAAACTACTCAAAATTTCCACTATCAGTTCTCCAGAACCTGTCCAAACCTGCTGAATACCCACCTCTGATTCTGACCCAAGAAGTTATGGCAATTACAGTACGGCTAGTCCTCGGCTTTCAACAGCTTATTTAGTGACCATTTGAAGTTACAACAAGCACTGACCTATGACCGTTTTTCACAATTACAACTGCCACAGCAACCGTGATCAAAATTCAGACTTTGGGCAACTGACTCGTACTTATGACAGCTGTAGTGTCCCTGGATCATGGGATCCCCTTTTGTGACCTTCTGTCGAGCAAACTCAAGGGGGAACCCAGATTCACTTTACGACCTGGTTTCTAACTTAAACCGCCGCTGTGATTCTCTCAACAGCTGAGGCATGAAAGGTCGTAAAAGGAGGCCACATTCACTTAACAATAGTCTCACCTAGCAATGGAAATTTGGGGCTCAATTGCAGTCGTAAGTCAAGGACTACCTGCAATATGTCCTAAAGACCACCCAACCCAGTAAAAATTAGTTCCAAAGTAGTGGGGGGAAGGGGGAACCTTAACATCTTGGCCCCCTTCCCCCCAGCTTCCGTTTTCACCCTGCCCAGTAAGGCCGCTTCCCTCACCCCATCCCGCCATCGTCAAATGTGGCTCCCAATTCTTCATTCCTGGACTCCGTGCAAAGCTCTCATTTGAGACCAAGTCAAACCTTTTGGCAGTCAGTTTGCTGTCCAAACTTGTTTCAGTTTAGTTTCTGAACGTCTCATTACCACGCTAGGTAACATCATCAGCAGGATTTTCTTGTCCTTTTCCTCTCTACCTTATACATGTCTTGTGGGCCAGTGTGGTCAGTTGGTCGTGTGATTGGATGTTCGTTTGGAGCTGTGTTTAAATTCTGAGCAGCTGATTGGTTTTCTTGTGGACTGGCCGTTTGAATGGTCTGGTTCCTTATATATTCATACTGGTTGGATCTAGTTAAGAGCCGCAGTGGCTAGAATGCAGTACTGCAGTCTGCTTCTGCTGATTGTCAGCTGCCAGCAGTTTGGCAGTTCGAATCTCATCAGGCTCAAGGTTGACTCAGCCTTCTATCCTTCCGAGGTGGGTAAAATGAGGACCCAGATTGTTGAGTGCAATAGGATGACTCTGTAAAACTGCCTAGAGAGGGCTGGAAAGCACTGTGGAGCAGTATATAAGTCTAAGTGCTATTGCTAAAACCTACAGATAGGTCACAACCAGCCTTGCGTGCTGCTTATTGGTAGATACAGGAAGTCTAAGGCTATTGCTATAGTTCAAGATGCTTGTTAATTGCTCCTTGGGTGAAATATTAGGCTCCAATAAATTCACGTGTATGGCAGGTGCTGGCATGGCCAATGATTGTTGTTCCTTCCCAATCAAACCAATGTTGTTTATTATCAATGCAGCTTAAGATCAGGAATTTTGGTCGTGCCATTTCACTGCTCATTGATGTTCAAGAACCCTTGTGCTCAATTGCTTTCCTTTTCGTCCCACGTAGAATTGGTTTAAAATTGTTGCAATTGATTTTGTATTCTGTGTTGCTGTGGTCTCCCTTCTGTGTTTGGTCTTTGACTTTAGGTAGCTCTTTCCCAAGTATAAATGTGGGTTTGTGAGCTTTCCCAAAGTCAGACCTTCCATCCAGTACTACCCTCCAAAATTCTTGAGGCTTTCAAGAATAGATTGGATTGCCATTTGTCAGAAATGGTGCTTGGGAGGGGGGTTGGGCTAGATGACCTACAAGGTCCCTTCCAACTCTTAGTGAACAACCAGCTAAATATGAGCCAGCAGTGTGCAGCAGCAGCCAGCTAATGCAATTCTAAGTTGCATTAACAGAGGGATACAATCGAGATCAAGGGAGGTACTAATACCACTCTATAAAGCCTTAGTAAGACCACACCTAGAGTACTGCATCCAGTTTTGGTCACCACACTATAAAAAGATGTTGAGACTCTAGAAAAAGTACAGAGAAGAGCAACCCAGAATGATTAGGGGACTGGAGACTAAGGCACACGAAGGAACTGGGCATGGCTAGTCTAGTGAAAAGAAGGACCAGGGGAGACATGATAGCAGTCTTCCAATATTTGAGGGGCTGCCACAGAGAGGGTCAATCTATTTTCTAAAGCACCTGTAAGCCAGACAAGGAATAATGGATGGAAACTGGAGGAGAGATTCAACCTGGAAATAAGGAGAAATTTTCGGACAATGAGAACAACCAACCAACACAGAAGTTGCCTTCGGAAGTTGTGGGAGTGCCATCACTTGAGACTTTCAAGAAGAGATTGGACTGCCATTTGTCAGAAATGGTATAGGGTCACATGCTTGGGTGGGAGGTTGGACTAGATGACCTACAAGGTCCCTTCCAACTCTGATTATCTCTTATCTGTAGCTCTGTTAAATGTGTCTGTACGCTGTAAATTGCCTTGCCTTCATGAATAGCACTTACCTTTGTAACAGCCGTCTGCCAATCCTGAAAGAAATCGGGCCGATTCTTTTCTTTAGCTTCTGTCAGCAAGTATTTCCGTATGTTCTTTTAAGGTGGGGGAAAAAAATAGGAGGAGGAATATGAATCAGAGCCTGTCTGGATCAGCCGTATGTTTCTTAAAACAAGCACTTCCCCACACATTGTGCCCTTGGAGAGTCAGTGGGATACCATGAAAAGCGTTTGGCTTGGAACAGAAAGCTCCCTTAATGGCCATGATTTAAAAAACATCCCGGGTAAATCTTGTAGGAATCATTAGCTTTTGGTGTAATTAACCTCACGGGGTTTTAATTCATTTTATCTCTGCAACAAATCTGTCTGTGTAGCCTGCAGAGTTTTACCGAAAGGAAGAGGATCAATAACGGACACGAATGGCTGACGTTATTTAAGACGCTTTAAGAACCAGCAGGAACCTTGGCTGGGTTGTCCCTATGGCAGATTTGTTGGGACTACAACTCCCAGAATTCTGAAGTATATGTTGGTCTTGGGCCAAAAGGGTTGGGAGCACTGAGACTTCCCATTGCAGTGAATTTGGAAAACACTACATGGGTTAAAAAAAGATATTAAGAACTCAGAAAAAAAGTGGGAAGAGTTAGAATTAACAATATACGATCAAGGATACAGGGAACTTCCATGTCATATTTTGTAAATAAGATATTCTAGGTGAAAGCTTATCAATGATGGTTCCGGCCATATTGTAAGAAAGAGGTTTTGGATTACTAAAGTACAGGTAGTCCTCGACTTGTGACGGCAAGGGAGCCCAATATTTCTGTTGCCAAGCGAGGCATTTATAAAGCGAGGCTTGCCCCATTTTACAACCTTTTTTGATATACAATTGTTAAGTGAATCATTGCAGTCGTTAAACTAGTCACACAGTTGGTTGGTGAGTCTGGCTTACCCATTAACCTCTGCCTGCCAGAAGGTTGCAAAAGGAGAGTATGTAACCACTGCAACCGTCATAACTATGAGCCAGTTGACAAGCGCCTGAATTTTCATCCCACGGCTGTGGGGATACTGCAATGGCCATAAGTGTGGAAAACGTTCATAAGTCAGCTTTTCAGTGCTATCGTGACTTTCTATGGTCACTAAACGAATGGTTGTTAAGTCGAGGACTACCTGTAACAAGTGGCCTGGCAACAGAGAATAACTCGAGCAATGTGGCATTTATTTCGATATGTGGACGCTGCAATGCTTTATCGTTTCCCCAAGGTCACAATTTAATGACTACAAAAATACCCAAAGTATTAACCAACTGATGCTCTATCCCTTTAACAAAAGATGGCTGGGGTCTGTCTGTCTGTCTGTGTATCTATCTATGTATCTATCTATGTATCTATCATCTCTATGTCTGTCTATCTATCATCTATGTCTGTCTGTCTGTCTATCTAGCTATCTATCATCTGTCTGTCTGTCTATCTATCTATCTATCTATCTATCATCTCTCTGTTTGTCTGTCTATCATCTATGTCTGTCTGTATGTCTGTCTGCCTGCCTGCCTGCCTATCTATCTATCTATCATCTATCATCTATCATCTGTCTATCTATCTATCTATCTATCTATCTATCTATCCATCTATCATCTCTATGTTTGTCTGTCTATCATCTATGTCTGTCTGTCTGTCTGTCTGTCTGTCTATCATCTGTCTATCTGTCTGTCTATCTATCTATCTATCTATCTATCTATCTATCTATCTATCTATCTATCTTCTATCATCTGTCTGTCTATCTATCTATCTATCTATCTATCTATCTATCTATCTATAAAATTTATTGGCCATTCGTGGGGACTTCCGGTTTGAGCTTCTTCAGTGACAGACCGAAACCTCATCTCTGCAAGGCTTCGATCCATGCTCGCTTCTGGAGCGCCCTGAGCTGGCTGGTTTCGGGGCTAAGCCACCCCGTAGAGGTGGTGAAGATGGGGGAGACTGCCAGCAGGGTTGAGGAGAGCTGCGTCTCTCCTCCCCAGCTGGCCATTACTCCCTTTCCCGAAGGCGGTTGCAGCGGTGGTCAGAAATGGTCACCACAAAGAAGAACTTGACCGGAAAAGAATGTGCAGGAGGAAGATAAGAAGAGAAAGTTTTGGTTGACCGGGTCAAACAGCAAAAGCAACAAATAAGGTACCCTGGAATTGAAACTGTTAAAAAAAAAATAACATTGTTCCCTAAGAAGATTTGTAAGCTGTGAAGGAGAGAGAAAAGGGAAAAGATTTGGTTTTCTCCTTTTCCTATACTGACAGCTAAGAGACTTAAGCAAGAAATTGGAAAAAAATCCACTTTGACATCAATAGGCATTTAATGCTGAAAATAAAAAGTCAAGGGGATAATAAAGATTTCTGGATAATTAAAAGCTTTTGAAAACAGGAAAGGAGAGAAAAAGAATAAAAGGGCAGGATCTGGAAGGGAGGAGACTACCTGGAATTTAAAAAGAACTTACAGAAAAATCTCAACAAGACTTTCAAAAGATACATTCTAACTGAAATATCGCAACAAAAACCCCAGGAAGAGAAAGTCCAAAAAGAAATAAGAAGATATAACTCAGGACTATTTGGACTACTTGATGATTTCTGGATTCTTGGTTATTGTTTTGAATGACTAAAATCAATCGGGTGGTTGTTTAAAACTTTTTAAAATGGCTCCACTTTTAGAAGAACTGAAAATGGAACTTAAAAAACAGAAAGAAGATGCACAAGAAGGAAGAGGTTCTTTTGGCTTCGTATTTCAGTTTTTAGAAATGGAGATTTGGAATTATGAGAAACAACAAGAAATGCCTGCAGAACAAGAAGATTGCGACAAAGAAGAAACTATCTTTAATGAACAAGTAATCTTAGATGGGGGAAAAAAAGGAAAGGGGGAAAAGAGAATGGAAAGTTTAAGATTGGGAAAAACAACTCCAAAAAAATTAGAGTGAAAAATAAGTATAAAATCAGAAAGCAACAGAAGAGGGAAATGCAGAAGAGAGAATTAGAACTAGAGAGACAAGGGGGTAAAAAGGGAAGGGAGAAGATGAGAGGGAAGAAAGAAAGGAAAAGAAGTTATAAAGGACAGGAGCAAAATATAGAGAAACACGGCCTATTTAGAGATAATGGGTGAAAATTTAATGGAAAAAGGGATTCTGCAAAGGTACATAAGTTAGTATTGTTATATTAGAAACAGAAATAATTTTTAGAAAATATGAAGCCATGTATGATTAAAATGTTTGATAAAATAGCTATCATAATTCAGTGGAATGCTTGTCAATAAATAAATGTAACAAAATGAATATTTAATGATTTATAAAACATATGTGAAGAGAAATAAGGGAAAAATTAATTATGGAGATTATATGTGTTTTTAAGGAAGTATGATATTTAATTGAAAAGAAGAGTTAAAGATGTTAAGATTTTAATGATTATTAATGATAGAACTGAACTGGAATGGAATGAGGGTTTATAATTACATATTTTAAGAATCTTTCTTTTTTTTAAAAAAAGAATATAGTGTGTATTATAAGAATGTGCCAAGCAGAATTAGATTGGAAGTTATGTATTATGTATTATATTGAAGGTCATAAACTTAAGGTATATATTGAAGGTTAAATAAGAGTTGAATGGATGTAATTAAAAGATATAAAGGTGTCATACTCCAATTAGTAACTACAGGAGAAAATTTGTTTAATGAGAAAAGATAATATGAAATTGAAACAGAACAGACAAAAATATAAATATAATGATTTGAATTGAGATGAGATTATCAAAATAAAATTGAGAAAATTAAAAGAGGAGAAAAACTATCGAAAATGTAAAATAGTATAAGATATGGAATAGAATACAAAAAGGAGCATGAAATTGAGTTTTGTGTCTGTATAAAGAAGTTCAACCCGGGACCATGCTATTTTCAAAAAAGATGTTTTACTTGTATTTTGTGTGTGAAAACCCAAATAAAACTTTACTAAAAAAAAAAAAAAATTGGCCATTTGTCTTACCATAGGGCAGGGGTGACAACCTTGATTTCATCGAGGGGCACATCAGGGTTGTGTTTGACCTCAGGGAGGGGGGGCATGGCCAGCTCGACGTCACTCGTGTTCAGGGGCACCTGTGGTGGCCCGAACACTCCGCCAGAGAAAACGGGCTCCCAAGCTCCGTTTTCACCTACGACAGTCTCCTGCAACCCTCTGCCAGTGAAAACAGAGCTAGGGAGGGCTACCCGTGGCCCTCACATGCTCCGTTTTCGCTGGCAGAGACACTGTGGGCCAGTCCTTCACTGTTTCCAGGGCGGTCCTGCGGGCTGGATCTGGCCCCCAGGCCTTGAGTTTAACACCCCCGCCATAGGGTAACTCTGGGCGGCTTATAAGTTACACCCTAGTTAAAACATAACATGTTAAAATCAAGCTTTAAAACCAGAAGCGCATGGGGAGGGAAGGTGGGGTCTGTTACTACTCAACCAGCCACCTCCATTGTGCTGATTCCCCATTGAGGCCCAAAGCCCACTTGCAGAGCCACGTCTTTAGGCCCTTAGGAAAAGATGAGGGTCGGGGCCAACCTCACATGGGGGGGGAAAGTTGTTCCAGAGGCAGAGAAGGCCCTCCTCTTGGACCCCGCCAGTTGGAATAGTCGTGCTGGAGGGACCCACAGCATACCTCCTCTGCCGGCACGAAGGGGAGTGGCCAGTCCCAGTTTTGTAAATCCGAATGACCGTGCTACCCTCAGGACAACTCTACCAAAGGGACGGCCCAGGTCCTTGGGATATGGAAAGATAGGACCCGTTTTACTAGAGGAGTAGCTGTTCCTCTTACCTCTACACAGAACTTAAAATGAATGCCTTGAGAGTCATAAAATGAAATAACCCGGTTAGGGAGATTCACAGTAATTAAGGACCAGTGGACTTCCAGATGAATAGGAATTAATAAGAGGGTCTTTTTGAAGAGGTCCACCTGAAAGGGAAAAAAAAAAACTGCAGGTCATCCATCACTAGGAGCAAGCAATGTATCACCTGCCCACAATGCCGAAGGCATCATTAATTCCCAGAGAACCATAAAGAAAACCACCAGGAATTCCAACAATAAGACAAAAGAGACAGACTGAGGAAATATAGGGTACACTGCCTGCCAATTTCACACAAACACACCATGCCTCCTTCCTCTTTACCTGGGGTGAAGAATTACTGCCTTCCAAACTAGAGGTTAGAACCTCCATCAACTTAATAACCTTTTCAAGGTTTACATGGCAGGCGGAGGGAGCTGCACAGCCTTCACTGGAGGGGAGAATTTCACAAGTTTGAAGGGTGTCTCCGCAAAGCTTATTTTGGCCCTTCACATGCAGACACCATCCCCGTTTCTGATTCTCGGGCCGTAACATTTTTTGCATCCCTGCTCTGAGGATGTTAAATTGCAACTGAACAAACCAGGAAAAATGAAACTTATTGCTCAAACATCTGGGCAAAGCTCTCTTCCTCCCTTATACTTATTTAATTTACCATGAGGTTAATTAATGGAGTTGGTCTGGGGAACCTTAAGTAGCCACGATTCCAAGATTGGCTAATTTCTCATCTATTTTTAGGAGACACAGGAAGGTGGAACCTGCGGTCCTGGGAGCCGGTTGTTGTTGTGGTTGTTTTGCTTGCACACGACTTTAGGACCAGGAGCACAGCTCCCTGTTCAAAGCAACCCTTACACCAGGGCTCCCCAAGCCTCAGCTGTGGCCTAGTACCGGACCACAGGTACTGTTTGAAACTGGGCTGCACAAGCAGCGGCAGGCGAGCGCATGAGCATGTGTGATTCTCTCCTCGTGAAAGGGGAAGCCGCTTGCCCCTGCACGCAAACTTATCCTCGCGTGAATGCCAGGTGTGCCTGCTCACCCAAATGGAGCTGTGCACGCTCATACTAAGCTGGCAGGACTAGCTAACACCCAAGAAGATAGGCTCAAGATCCAGATGGATCTTGACAGACTAGAACACTGGGCCATATCTAACAAAATGAAATTCAATGTAGAGAAAAGTAAAGTCCTACACTTAGGCAAAAAAAACCAAAAGTGCACATATAGACTGGGTGAAACCAGGCTCAGTGGCAGTGACTGTGAGAGGGATCTTGGAGTCTTAGTGGACAACCAGCTAAATATGAGCCAGCAGTGTGCAGCAGCAGCCAAAAAAGCCAATGCAATCCTAAGTTGCACTAACAGAGGGATACAATCAAGATCAAGTGAGGTACTAAGACCGCTCTATAAAGCCTTAGTAAGAGTACTGCATCCAGTTTTGGTCATCACACTATAAAAAAGATGTTGAGACTCTAAAACAAATTCCAGAGAAGAGCAACCAGGATGATTAGGGTACTGGAGACTTAAGGCATACTAAGAATGGTTACTGGGCCTGGCTAGTCTAGTGAAGAGAAGGACCAGGGGAGATAGGATAGCGGTCTTCCAATATTTGAGGGGCTGCCACAGGGAGGAAGGAGTCAAGCTATTTTATAAAGCACCTGAAGGCCAGACAAGGCATAAAGGATGGAAACTGAACAAGGAGAGATTTAACCTGGAAATAAGGAGAAACTTTCTGACAGAACAATCAACCAATGGAACAGCTTGCCCTCAGAAGTTGTGGGATCACCATCACTTGAGACTTTCAGGAAGAGATTGGACTGCCATTTGTCAGAAATGGTGTAGGATCTCCTGCTTGGGCGGGGAGGTTGGACTAGATGACCTATAAGGTCCCTTCCAACTCTGATTATCTGTTATCTATACCAGCCTGCCACTCACAGGGAACTTTCCCCCTCCCTCCTGGGGCTGCCAAGCCAGAAAGGATGGGCACTGCTGCTTTGCACCCTCAAGCCAAGTTCTATCTACAACTTTACTCAGGTCCTGCAAAGAGAATTTTCCGTTCTTCACCCAAAACTACATTCAAACCCGAGCTCCCCCGAGGCAGTGGAAGGGTTGAGGCACAAATCACTTTCTGGCAGGACAAATTAGCAACCCCAGGTGGCAGTCGCTATACAAAGAATACTACCGGTATCATTTCGGGCAGCAGTTCCACAGGGATAGCAATTATCTTTTGCCCCTTCCCACTCAAATAGGCAGAAGAGCTCCTAGAACTGCAAGGAACAATTCTTTTGCCCGCTGCAGCTTTGATGACAAACACAACCTCTCTTTAAAAACGCCTCAACGGCATGCAGACTGCACCATAGACTCTAGCAACACCCCTGATCTGGACAATCTAAAGCAGACCATCAATGCTGTAATGCAGATGATTGAAGGCAAAGGTTAGAGGGTAAGCAACCTCTGAGAAACGGAACCAATTCAGAGCAAGCATCAAGAGAAACTTCGGAATGCGTTATGCGCACGGACAAGGCCACCTCCCTTGCAGCTGCAGGCACGATGACAAGCTGCAGACGGGTGCTAGGTTTGTGCTGCCACCCGGTTGTCTCAACGCATCTCCCAAATCAGGTCAGAAACAGCGCACGACTTGTAAAACAAACTAGCGGGTCTTTGTTGCTCTCTGAACTTGATTGTTTTTCTGCGGAGGTTTCATTACCCAGCTTGGTTAACATCCTCAGTTAGGGCAGGAATGGCGAGCAAACTCCACTCTTTTCCAGCACTGAGGATTGTTCAAGGTATTGCAGCGTAAATTCAGCACCAGAAAAGTAAACACAGATGGCTGAGGTCTCATTTAACTTCTTTATAAACACATAAAAGTAAAATTTACAATACCAGTTGCAGGTTTCTCTAACACGGAGCAAACTCAAACAGAAGCAGACGTGTTACAGGTCCAGAGCAGAGCTCTAGTTTTCAGCAAGCAAGTCATACAGCAGAGGAGAGGAGCAGTTTCATTTTCGATAGACAGACTCAGAGCTTAACATAGTTTCAGAGCTGCAGAGCTTAATATAGAGTCACGCCTAGGCTACTTCTAATTTCAGTTTCCAAACAGCCCTCATTGGCTGACTTAGTAGCTATGCTTATTCATTGACGACCTTGTTACCATACTCTGTTCCAGTTCATGAATATACTCTGACAATGATGTCACCTAGTTGGGTAATGAAACGTCTGCCAAGAAAACCACCAAGCTCAGAGAGCGCCCACAGTTCGACCAGGAGCTACCAATATTTTCTTCTTTTAGTAAAAAATACTAGCAGAGAGCAAGCTACAAGAACCTTTCCTCTCTGTACTATCTTCCTCTTTTCCCTCCTAACAACCATGGGTAGGGATATGGCCTGAACCAAGAAGGACTTCTAAATTCTGGTGGACAGTAGCCAGATGTCTATTGATGAAATAAGAGCCATATAAGAAGTTCTCCCTAGATATCTCAAGATGGAGGCTTTTAACAGGAAACAATGGAAAAAAGAAAAACAGCAATAGTCATAGGGGAAAAAGAAATGGTAGAGAGAACACACCACTCTGAACACTTCTTTCTTCAGAATATCCCTGATAAAAAGATCATTAGGGAACCAATAAAAATCATACAACACATTATATTTCTTTTTCCTGTACACTTTTTTGGAATTCCAATTAGCTAGACACATTTCGTCCCGAAAGGCACACAAGAGGACAATGAGAGACCCTTGTTGAAACAACTTCTGGGTCAATGATAACTTTTAAAGCTGCTTTTTAGATTTATATCCTGCCTCTCCCCAAAGGAAGGCCAAGCAGTTGAATACAGTATTCCCAGTTTTTTTCACCACCAACCTTGTGAGGTACGTTGGGCTGAGAGTGGCTGACTGGCTAGCTGCAAATCCCTAGGGGAAATTTCCAGAAATTTCCATGGCTGAGGGAGTACTTGAACCCAGGGCTCCTCAATCATCACCCAATTGTTTACATATCCGGGAGGCCAAGCCACCAAACAGCAATTTAAACATTTCCAGCATTTTAGTAGTATAACCAGTAAAAATGTTTGCTGAAATTTAGTGAAGTGATAAAAGAGGAATCTGGGGGTCTGCTGGCGGAGGAGGGGGTAGATTTTTTTTTTTTAAAGACTTTTTGTGCTGTCATCCACATTTTTCATTCCATTTCATTTACCCGCTTTGCATGATGACCTTGGCCAGTGAAATTCCTGGTAAAGGATTTAAAAAAAAATCGTTCCTCAATCAATAAAAGAATGCGTAATATCCTTGACCCAGTCATTTGGGAGTCAATTTTCCTTCTCTCCGGTCATTTATTTGATGCAATTCGCCAAATAAATCAGAACTTTTAATTTGTTTAAAAAAAAAAACGGTGAAAAAAAATCTTCCTGTGTTGACTTATTCAAAATCAGAAATATCGGACAGCATACAATGAGACGGTGTTAAGCATAAAATTAGCATTTTTTATGCAAGGTGGTCTACAGAGAGAAACGTCCATCAGCTCACGCTGTTAAATGATGAAGTAACTCTTTAATTTTGCAACCCAGCCCACTCTACTGAAGATCTGGTAAGCACCTAAGAGAGATAGAAAATTTCCTGGACAAGCGAGGATGGTAATAGCTTAAGGGAGAGGAGAAGCGTATTTGCAAACAAAGCAAATATTGGAATAAATGTTATGCTGTATTTTTCCATTCATGGATGAAGCTTTAATTAATCCAAGGGTCCTTCTTTATTGGTTGGTGCTGGCCACCCTGAACATACGGTGAGTTTGGGAGGAGGCAAAACCCGGAAAGGATTCCGGGGGGAGAAGTGGGGGGAGAGAGCCAAAAGGACATATGCTTAACAGCTTCAGAAGACTCAATGAAAATTCCAAACAATAGTTCTCATTTCTTTGCAATTCTCAGGGAACAAAAGTCTTGGCACTTTAAAAATAACGTGCAGGAGGGGGAAAGATACAGAAATAGCAGAACATCCAACTTTCTGCCATCAGCACCTGCAGTCTTGTCTCTAAAGAATTGATATCGTTAAGTAGGCAAACACACTGTTCTTACCAAAAAGGAAGGATCGAGTAACCCCGCTGTAGACGAAATAATCGCAGAAGAAACTGGTGAACGCACGAAACTATTTACAGAATTTCTCAGTCAGAACCCAGTGTTCTACCTCTACATTAACTCACGTTTAAGGATCCCAAAGGTGTTTTTTTTTTTTTCAAGAGGCCATTGGACTTTCTGGTTTTTCTTGGAAGGCGTTTCGCTTCTTATCCGAGAAGCTTCTTCAGTTCAGAGCTGAAGAAGCTTCTTGGATGAGAAGCGAAACGTGTTCAAAGGAAAACCAGAAAGTCCAATGGCCTCTTGAAAAAAGGACCTTTGGGACAACCATGACCTGGATGACCGAGAATCTCCATAGACGTTTAGTCAAGTTTAAGAGCTACCTGAGCTACCTGGGGCCCTGGAGAATCCTAAAAAGAAAAGAAATAAAACCAGGAGCCCCTTAGGGAAAAAGAAACACACTGTGGTGATGGGCAATTCCCTGCTGATAGGATCCAAGGAAGTTGTGTACAGACACAATACATCATGACTAGAGGTGTGTTATCTTCCAGGTGCCAGTCTCTAGAACTGAACAAAGAGGTCACCAAGATTATTCACCCAGGTTGTCCCAAAGGTGCATTTCAAAAGGCAACTGGGAGCTTCTTCGTTTTTCCCGCCCTGAAAATGTTTTGCTTCTCATCCAAGAAGCTTCTTGGCTTCTTTTCTTGGTTTCCAAGAAAGAAAGAAAGAAAAAAAACTAAGAAAAGTCCTCTTGATTTTTGAAAAGCCAATATTTTGGGACAGTATTATTCAATGTTCCTTTCCTCTTGATTCATGTAGGGATGTATAACATGATCAGAAGATACTTTAAAGAATCTCCTGCCAGGAAAGTGAACTGGGAGGACAAGTAATTTTTTTCATCAATCTGTTCAGGGGAAGGTCAATGAGCAAGTAGACTAAACAAGACTCTGGAAATGAACATCTGTTGTACTGTGGATGGTGAAACCAAAAGTTGAACTTCTACAACAGTGGACTATGCTATCTTCGTGAAGGACTACAGTGAATGTACAGGAAGGCTAGGAAGAAATTGTTTGGAAGAAAGGACCTTTCTCATGAGAATGACATAAATCAAGAATCAAAGGCGGAGAACAGAAACAGCCCAAAAGCTAACACGCTGACAAGGTCTAGGACAAGTAAAACAAAACACAAAGGAAGAAAACCAGGATGAGCATTCAGTGTTTTGTAGGATATTACAACAGAAATACTGGCAGGCGATACTCAGAACCTGATGTTTCTACACCACTGCAGAATATGAAAAGTAATCCAAAGACAAAGATGTTGGGATAAGACATTATATAAACTCAATAGGGATTATGATCCTACAGCATTGGAAGGTTATATAACTTTTCAGAAGGAGAAAACCCAGAAGGGATGAAGATGTTGTAATACACGCGAAGAAAATATGTATTTACACAGTTAAAAACGCAGCATGGACACCCCACAGCAAGTGAGTTTGCCTAAGGCTAAAAGGAGACACAAAAGGAAGAGGTACCAAAAGCAACAAAAGGGATTGGCTGGGGTAGAAACAAAAGAAAAGCCAAAGGTCCAATGGTGAACTGGTAATGGGAGAA